TTTTAATGGAGTTGTTAGAATGGTGCAAAGTCATTGCACATCTTAGGCTGCAATGGTGTACTTAACCTGCAAAAATCTCGTACACAGCTATAATCTTATTCTTTCCCACCACTTTGCTTATGGCCCACAGAGGTTTGCACAGTGTTTTGAAGTGATTTAATGTGCTCATTTCTGTTTGTTTAGGCCTTTGAGTTAGCAACAGGAGACTACCTGTTTGAGCCTCATTCTGGAGAAGATTACTCACGAGATGAAGGTCTGTTTGCCTAAGTCTTCCTTTTTTAAAATGAGAGTTCATGAAATTCAATGGTTGCCTCTTCAGAATGAGCCTTCTCTTTTGAGTGAGCAATGCAAAGACTCTTTGCAAAAACATTATTTACCCAAATCCACAGCAACTGTGCTAAAGCCTCTGCAGTAAAACACCGTGCAACAAGTCTATATTCTTGTTCTGGTGTTTCACATTCCTCTTGCTCCTGGATTCTCTACCTTGCATCTCAAACTGATCAGGGCCTCAAATTGCCCTTATTTTTTCCCCCTTGCCCCCTGGCTTTGTTGTTGCTTAGTGTAATCTTGATTTCAGGTGGATATCAAAGTAATTTTTAAGGCAGATAATGTCTTTCTTATATCCCAGAACAGGAAACGGCAGCATAAAGATGTCTTGTGTATTTTTGGTGGTTTTTTTTTAACATGCAGATCACATTGCATTGATCATAGAACTTCTGGGGAAAATACCTCGCAAGCTCATTTTGGCAGGAAAATATTCCAAGGAGTTTTTCACCAAAAAAGGTAAAAGGAAACAAAGGAAATATCACTTATCCCCTTATCTTCTACCCCAAATACACAGTAATGTCTTGCTGGAACTGCCAGCAAAGATGCCTCTTTAAGTCTTTCCTTTGTTTTATGAAAGGCTTCATCAGTAAAACTGCAGCTAAATCTAAGGCATTCTTGTTTTACTGCTAAAAGTATCCTACATCCTAGTACTTGACATCTTGGTGTAGATCAAATGTAGCAGGTAGAAAAACAGTACATTAGATGTTTAGTCAAACTTGATGTGGCTTTATTTAGCTGATCTTTGTCAACTAGAGGTGGTGACTCACTTTTGAAGTCTTCTCTAGACAGCTTTACTCCATTTCTAGCATGCCAGTCACCTTAAATAGTCCCTTGCATCATGAGCCATACTGCTCAGAGCACATAACGTTATCATAAAGCCCTAAGTACCCCAGAAATGTATTGAGTCGAAAAAGTAGGTTTTGACCTAGTTTAATACTTTTTTTTAATAAAAACAAACCCTTTTTTCTTTAGTAGCTTATTGCTTTCTCAAACAGTGCGGTATGCATTGCATGTATTCCAAAGTCAATGGCATAGTGTTTATCTGTCATGTCAAAGCAGTATAGCTGGTGATTTAATGAAGGTAATATTTGCTTATATTGGATCTGAAATAGCAGGAGGTGAAAAAAGAACCTTTCAAGGAAGTACATTTCTGTAATACACTTACAAAGCAGTAGGAAAGGGGTTTTAATGTAATTTACTTCTCCCTTCAGCATGCCCTACCACATTATATTCCCTATGCCCAACTATTAGAACACTTTCTGAATTCAATCTGTCATGTTTAGCTGTTCAGCCTATTTTATTGAGCTGCTCTGTTCCCATGTCTTGCCAGACTTAACCTGTCTGTCTTGGGTTTTCAGGTGATCTGAAGCACATCACCAAACTGAAGCCCTGGGGCCTTTTTGAAGTACTGGTGGAAAAATACGAGTGGTCCCAAGATGAGGCAGCTGCATTCACAGACTTCTTACTACCTATGTTGGAGCTGATCCCAGAGAAACGAGCTACAGCAGCAGAGTGTCTCAGGCACCCTTGGCTTAATTCATAGAAGCTTCAGTGCAGTGCCACAGCGTTACACTCTGGTTTACAGCATAGCCTACACACACCCAGCTGCCCCTTCCCAGATCCATTGTTCTCCTTGTTCACTTTCAGTGTGAAGTTCTTCCTTCAAGGCTTCCAAGATTTTAGATAAATCTAACCTGTTCTGCTGAATTTGCTTGTGTGACTTAATGGGGACTTTCCTCAGCCAGTGGGCATCATCTGTGTTTCGCCTTGATTGGGCTTCACCAAAAACTAATTGACTAGAATATGAAATCTTCCCTCAGTCTCCTCACTGTTAGGCACCATGTGTTACAGATGTGAGCTCACCCGTGCTCAGATGTGCTCCCTTAGCTAGATTTCAACTCTCCTTTCTTCATGAGGGCCATGCAAAGATCTCACTGACTCAGGAGTAAATTTCCCTGATCCAATAGCTAGTGACGGGGTGAGAAGTAACAGGTGGCATCAAGGGGGTGCCAGATCCCTGTAGAGCGAAGACCTTGAAATCCTCCATCGCTTTCTAGGTATCTACTGTATTCTTTCCAGTCACAAACTTTTATTTAGTTCTAGCTGCTTTTGAAAAAGCTTTTTAAACCTAGGTTTTAGTATCCTTTATTTCTTCCTCCAAAGTGTCCTATCCCTTAACCTTTTCCTTCCCCATACCCTTGGTAGAATAGTTTCTGAACTTGGTGATGTTTTCTACTTCAATGCCTGTGACTAAAAGGCAAGCAAAGTAAGCAAAAGCTGGAACTGACTGAACGCACAATCTTCAGGACACAGATGGGTTCACCCCTTGGTCTGCAAAGTGAGAGCCTTGTTGCAGGCAACTCAACATTATAGCAAGACGTAAAGTTTTGGGATTTTTTTATCCCTAACTGGCACTTTTTTGCCTTGCTTGAGGTGGTTGCTGTATTTTGAGAGACTGCCTTTCATGGATGCAGTTTACTCTGACTTTTAATTTTTGACCATTCACTTTTTCCCAAGGAAAGGGTTGCAGCGCCTGTATCACAGCCATGCCATAGCCCTGGACTTTCAAAATTAAAACTTGAAATCTCAGTGTAAAGATTTCTTTCCTCTTAATTTGCTTCAGGTGCGGGCCTTCAGAAATAACTTCCCAGGATGGGACTGCCTTTTATTTTCTGGGCCATTAGCACAAGAAGAGCTAGCAGAAGTGGAAGAGAATTGACTTTTCCATGTAGATACTGGGTTAGAAGCTGTTTCTAGAGTTACCCCAAGTAAAAAAAGTGTTCTATGGGGCTTCTATGTAAACTTCTCAGAGGGGGTTTGGATATAATGAGTTAAATGGGTTAATTTTAATTAAAAGTTAAAACACTGTGGCATTTGCTAGTTTTATGATGGCTTCTTCTAGAGTTGCCCATCCTATTACAGATTCAGTGCATCCCACTCTTCTCTAAGCAAGATTTGGCAGCGTTGAGACTTCAGAGGCACTTCCTTACTCTGGACCAAACAAGCCTTTGGATTTGTGGTGGCTTTCAGAGGATAGAAGTTGCTGGAGGCCATGCAGATGCTACCCAAGACAATTACATTGCCAAAGCTGCCAAGATCACTGTTACGTGTCAGTTCTATGTGTGTGGAAATTTTGGTTTATAAGGATCATTCATTCATAAACCGGATCATTTAATCCACTGGAAAAGAGTTTCTCTTTTCAAAAATACACAAGCCTGATGGGGCTTATTTATGCAAATCATGCTGCATGTTCCTTTAGTGGTAGATCAGATTCTCTATGCATATAATATAAAGTGAAAGGCAGGTAACATACCAAAAACATTTCAAACTGCTGATTTGACAGGTTTTTTCCCCATTCATCTGGAGTTTTCCAGTTCTAGGTCTCTTCTGTATCTGTTACAGGACTGCAGACAGTACTGGGTTCCAACTTACTGTGAAGATACATTGGCAGGCAAACAATTCCTGTGCTCTTGAAAGCTTGCCCAGTCCTGCGTACTTGAGACTGGCTGATGAAGGAACATTTCCTAGAAGGGATCTGCAAGCTTTGACTCTTAAGAGCTCCTGCCCATCCTTTCTTCCCTTTCATCTGCCACCCTTGACTGGAGGAGGAGGTTTTTTTACCCAGATAGCTAAGGCTAGAGCCAGCTTGTGAGTTAAAGACCTGCAGAAGCAGCTGTCACAATTCAGTCTTTGTACTGTCTGCTTATTCACTTGGGGTTTGTTAAATTTCCAAGTTGCTGTAATGTGCTCACACTAAAGGATTTGTACTTGCTGTGTCAGTCTAAAACCTGAAGGAAAATACATTTTTATTCTTTCTACTTGGGTGCTTTGTCTTTTTTTTCTTTGTGAAAGCCCTACAATAAACAGATTATTTAATAACTGAACCCTAGTCTTCATACATTCCCTCTGTAAGTCTGTTCTTTCTGAGTCAGTGGCCCATGGATGAAATTTGGTTCACTAGTGAGTGATTTCCAGAATGAGACAGAGGGAGACAGTGTAGGTGAGAATTTTGTTGCTGGCATTGTGATCTGTTTCAAAAAGGGGGGAAAAGTAATAAATTGCAGGACAACTCTGCTGGAATTTTTCCATTCTAAAATACATTTTTCTTTAAGTTTGTCGTATCTCTGCTGTCTTCCCTAGCCAAGAATATTAACAAAACCTTCCCAGACACTTTTTTAGAAGGAAACATAAAATTGGAAGGTACTTGTTGGAACTGAATTGAATTGACTGCTACAGGAACCAACAAATTACAGCAAGTAGAAATTAAAATAATGCAGGCTAATTTTGGGTTCTGACGAGGTAAGAGCTGGACAGGATAATGTTCTGCTTTATCTTCTGCAGAAATGGACTGTGCCACAGGCTGCCGTGGGCGGGTGTTGGATGGGATGAGAGATGATGGCTAAATCAAGTTAATGGGGTGGTGCAGTGACTGGCACCATCTGCTGTGGTTTGCAGGTGCTGTTACAGGCCTGCTACAGCCCAGCAGATTGGGTTTTGGTTTTGTTGTTTGGTTTTTCTTTTCCCAGGAAAGTGCCCTTTTGGTTATTGTTGCATAGAGTGGGAAACTGATTCACTGCTCCGATAGGAATTGGCTGTCATCATATTTTTCAAGTAAAAGTGCAGTCTGGGACATGACAGAGGGTTTCCTCTGCCCTGAGCAGACTAGCACAAAATCCAAAACACTGATTTTTATTTTACTTTTTATTCATAAGTAATTTCCTTGAAAGAAGGTGTACAAACCCCACAAAAAAAGCAGCAAATCACTGTCACTCCCCTCGTGCCCAGGACCCCTCTTGCTGATGGACTCAGAAACCCCATGTCCAGTTTGGGCTTTTCCCATCAAATAAACTCCACGAGAGCTGTGAGCCAAGAGCAGCCTCATGGGTGAAGAAAACAGCTGTAGAAAATCCACAGAATTAGATAAGTTTAAATCTCCTAGAAAAGTCACTTTAAAGAAAAGAGCTGATGAAAGAAGAGCTCTGGGTCTCCCTGGGAACAAAAAGAATAAGTCAGTTGTTGCCAAATGGAGTATGACTTCAAATTTTAAGCTTGTGTTATTTCATCATTGGGCAAGGGTTTATGTTTTCCCAGTTCTGGGATGCAAAGCAAAGACTATTTCCTTTCTAACCACAAATAAAACCAATGTGACTATAGCACCAAAACCAGTTGTCAATCGTTTAGTAATCAGAATACAACAGCAACATTATGTATGCTGGGAAGAAACATTAAAAGTCTGTGGATATCACTTACGTGGTAATGAGCTCTGTCAGTCATTTCCCTCCTCTGTAAAACAAAAAGATAATTACAGTGTTAATGGGGTGTGGTATAAAACTGAAAGTACTGGGTGTGTTTTACAGATTTGTTTTCAAAAAGGGAGAAAACAATTTAAAACAGGATGAGGAGCAAGCCCCATGCCTGTGAAAGTTAGTACGGGTCCATTTGGGCTCCTGCCTTGTTCTCCATCAGTCTTCTGCCTGCTGCTGGCTCTCCATCCCTATGAAGCAGTGTGATGACTATGCCAGGAAGGAAGCCAGCATCCTCCCAAATAACAGCAATGAGCTGAGTGGTTGAAACACTGCAGCAGGACAGGACCCCAGAGCTCAGCCCTAGCTGTCTTTACCTTTATTTTCCACTTTGAAATCGGATGGGAGGAGGTTGTCCTGCCGGTTCCCCAGCACAAAGGCCAGGAAGGACAGTATGAGAGCGTCGAGGATCCCAATGATGCAGAGGATGTAGGCCCAGCGCACGGTGCAGGCACCCAGTGTGTATTTGTCTGTCTTGTCCCCACACAGGCGCTTCACCTCGCTCGAGTCCCAGCCGTCAGGGTAGATCAGGCAGCCGATCATCAGCCCAGTAGCTGCAGGGAGAGGGACACACGTTGCCATTGGGAGACATTACAGTGGCCACAAGTTGCGTCCTGAGCTGATACTGGGAGGTGGAGGAGCATGGCTGCAAACGCAGCATTACAAACAGATAAGGCACTAGAGACTGGTTTGCCAGGCTTAAAGGGGCCCTGTGGTTGCCCATCACTGTGGGCTCTGCTCTGTTCCACAGCTGGGGAGGAGCAGGATACAGTATGCTGCCTTCCCACAAGTCAAGGACATGCTGCACCAGCATATCCCATCACTGTGTTGCCCAGGCAACGTCTTTCCTGCCTCTGCATGCATCCTTGGCCATGTCACTTCAAAGGAATGTTTTCTCCAAACAAAACTGGAATAGGTTTAGTCTGTGCAAGATGGAGAACCTTCCTAGCACCCTGCGAGTAGCTGATTTCAGCTTAGGGTTTGCTAAGTTAGAGCTGGTGTTAGCAGCAGCTTTGCAGGCAGATTAATTCTGCTTGTTCAGCTGTGGTGGTTCCAGCCCAGCCACAACACATCAGCTCCTCCTGTGACTGCTCTCAGTGCACCCACGACCTCGACAGCTGATCCAGCCTGGCCCCTGGGCCCTCAGGTCACCTTTGCAGCTTTGCCACAAGAGTTGCAACAACCTCGGTGCTGGCAGGCTGTTGAAGCTCCTGTCCCAAAACCTTGGAAGTACTTTTTTTTTTCCCTCCCAACATGCCAGAAAAACTCTTGTATTTACTGGACAAGAAAAGTGAGTGGGCTTGGGATAAGAGACAAGTTCATCTATAAGGCTTTGGGACATGATTAACAGAGGCCTTTCACATCCTCCACGGTTATCTTGGTGCAGAGCATGGAAGTAATTCGTGGTTTATGTGTTTTGGTGCAGATGCAGGGCTGGTCCTGACTCCTCTCACACAAGAAACAACCCCATGGTGGGACCTCTGGACAAGCAGATGTTTGTCCATGCCCCTCTTGGACATCTGCAGCCTCCTGCAGCAGTGAGATGCACCTTGCCCCACACCAGTGCCTCTTCTCTGTCACTGGGTGCTCAGTAAAACAGAAAACACTTTTGAGGCAGTTGCTTTGTCCTTTGCCGATGTTTTCTTTTTCCTTGGCTTGGGGACAAGCGAGCAGCAAGGCGAGCAGGCAGCTTCCTTGGTCTGCAGGGAAGATTCCTCTTCATCGAAAAGCAGCTGGTTTATTCTGTATTTAATTAATCTTCCCTGTAACTAACTGAGAGGAGAGGCACAGAGAAATGGGGAAAGCTGGAATGAAATAATTTCTGTGAAAATGCACCCTGGTGCACAGCAAAGGCCAGGAAGTGAATCCTCTCTAAGCCCACCCCCTTTGTAAAGTAATTCCTAAAATTCTGCCTGTGACATGTTTCTCTTCCCCCATTCAGAACAAAAAAAATACAGGTAAAAGCCCCAAATACCACAGTAAAGCCTTTCCCTCCTCCAGTTCAGCTCCCCGGGATGCTGAGCTGCCCCAAGCCTCTTATCTAAATCTTTGCTTGAGCTCGCTTCTTTAGCTGGAAGCTGCAGAAACCCTGATGGACGTCTCACAGGGTGTCAGCTGGGCTGTCCCTTCCATGGGAGCTGTGGCATGAATGATTCAGGAGCAGCAAAGGGCTGGGTTGGGTTTCAGCTGAGGCTTTGATCAAAAACAGGAGCTGGGTTACCAGGTGTCTCAAGTGCATTGGGAGAGAGGTGGGGAAGGCTGGAGATCCACAGGGGTGAGCAGAAAAGAGGGAAAATGCGAGTGATGGCACCAAGTCATACAGTCAGTCTCCTCCTCCTCTTCCATCTTCCTAGTACATTATTCCCTGAGCTCACGGAGTTATTAAAATAGCCCAGCAAATGTTATCACTGTCTCCCTGGTTAATTCCTTCAGGATTCCAAACACAGCAGGGAGCTCCATGCCCCAGCCCTGCGGGGTTTTTGTGCTCTCAAACTGATACTCCCAAAGCCACACCCTCGCTGCACGGTGGGGCTGAGCAGGAGCGCTGGCTGGAGGGAAGCTCCTCCAGGTAAGTGGAGCCAAGCCGGGGCCGGGCCGTAGGTGCCATGCGGTTTTGCTGCAGCAGCAGCACCCAGGGGACGCATCGCCCAACATGCAGTGAGTCTGCTGTGTCTCAGCTGCTCTGACAGGCTTTACTTACTACAAACTCCACACTGGTAACCAGTAAGGGAGAGCAAATGGCATGAAGGTGACACAGGTGTCTCTTTACAGGCCAGCCCCGCTCCAAGCAGGGTCGAGGTGGGGGCAGAAAGGGAAAAACGGCTCTGGTCGGATCACGGGCAGCTCCCGGCCCCTCCCGTGCATCGCCCCAGCCCTGCTCACCTGCTGCCAGCTGCATCCAGGCACACACTTTATAGACGGTGGCTGCGTTACAGAAGAAGAAGAGGCTGAAGCAAAGGATGGAGCCAATTATGAGAAAGGTGGATATGCCTACGAAGAACATGGCAGTTTTGAAGGCACTGGAGGGGATGGTGCCGAAGTCGAGGGGGCTGCCCTTGCAGATGAGCTCCCCAGTGAGCGCGTTGCCGATGCAGTAGGAGAAGAGGCCGAAGTAGCCGGCCTGCGGCGTGTCGATGCTGTCGCCGATCCAGTACGGCTGGATGAAGGTCACCACCATCAGGATGGAGAAGCAGAGGGTGAAGAGGGCCCAGAGCACTCCCATGGCCCGCGCATTCCTCACGTAGTTGGTATGGTAGATCCGGGCTGCCTCCTGAGCCGGCAGCAGCTTGGACATGGCGGGGCCCCTGTCCTGCCCCGCTCCCGGGGCGCCCGGCGCGGCCCCGCCCGCCCGGCAGCGGCGGCGGCGGCGGCGGCGGCAGCGGCTGGACCGCCCCGGGGAGCGGTGGCGGTGAGACCTCCCCCACACCCCCAACGAGCCGCGGAGGACCCGGGAGGAGCCGGCACGACCCCCGCCCCCTGAGCCGGGGAGGGCGCGGCGGGAGGCAGGCGGCGCGGCTCCAAGTGCGGTCGCGGGATGCGCTCCTGGGATGGGCCCCCGGTTTGTGCCCCGAGGGTATCCCCTGTGTCCCTGGAATGCTTTCTCGGGATTTGCCCTTTGCCTCCACCGTATGCCCTACCATGCACCCTAGGATAAGCCAAATATCCCCAATGTGCACCCTAGGATCTGCCCTGCGACGTACCCTGGGCTGTGCACCAGAGTGCACCCCGTGCCCTGCTGTGCACTCAGGGGTGCACTCTATCCCCCGCCTTGCCCCCAGAAACGTGCTGTGTGTCCTGCAATGTGCCATGCACACCCAGGATGTGTGGCAGGATGTGCTGGGCTGCACTGTGTAGCCCTGGATGTGTCCCAGGATGCGCCACATGCCCCAGGATGCATGTTGGGATGCACTCTGGGATGTGTCTTGCCCTCCAGTATGTGCCCCAGAATGTGCCAAGGGCTGTGCCATTAGCCTTGGGATCCCACCGGGCTCTGCTGTGTGCCCTAGGATATGTCCCAAATTCTGTGCCTCCTTGGCTGCTCCCTTCCGGCCTCCCAGCCCATGTCACAAGGGTCTTCCCCCACTGGTGGGGAGTACGTAGGGTGCTGCATCACTGGGGTGATGGACTGCAGGCCCTTTGACCCCCCCCATTGTAGCCTAAAATTGGCTCTTAAAGAAACCTGTAAGAGTCAATTTGTGAGTTTTAGAAGCCAGGCATTCTTTATTACAATGCGCTGTATAATCACAGCACTGCCCTGGGAATCAGTTCATCGAAGTGCACACAGAGGTGTCATCTTCACTACAGCTTATATGTCAGCGTTACATGATTATTCATTTTTCGTTCCCTGCATTCTTGTTGCATATTTATGACATTTCTCAACGCTTTTTAGCATGCATACATATCCTTATAAGGTCTTTGAGGGGCTTCATTGATCTCTGTTGGTTGTCTATGTCTGAAACCCCCAAAGTTCTAAGTAACTGCCTTATGAACTTCAAGACAATACACCTGGTTATAGAGGAACAGGGTGTTGCTTGGCTGGCTGTCTCAGTTCCCTTCTTCATTATTTCTTTACTTTGCTTGGTTAGCCCCTTTAAATCACTTGGCTCAGCTATATGTAGTTTCTATGGTACATTCCGCTGTAAAAATTGTTAGTTCTTGTTGCATCTCAAAACTCAGATATCACCATCAGCTCCAGGGCTGACTGGGGCTGCAGGCAGGCAGGGGACCATCCCCACAGTTTCACTGCGGAAAGGGAAATGGCTCATCCTGCTACGAGGACACACCAGAGTGTTAGCCATCACCTGTGGTAGGGCCAGGTCTCTGCCCAATCCCCATATTCCCATGTCCCCATGCCAGAGGAGCATGGGCAGCCCTAGAGCCTGCCCTGACAGGTTGCAGGCACTTGCAGCCACCTTGGGACCTCTCTCCAGGAGCCACATCTGCCTCACATTCCGAGAGACCACACAGGTTCAGCTCCTGTCATGAGGACTGGATGCCACACGCCAGCGACAGCCATAGCCAGCGTCATTCTCGGCATCACCCCTGCAGCTGTCAAAGGTCAGGGCTGCCTGGCCATTAATCATTGCTGGGAACAGCCAAGCATGAAAAGCTGTGCTGTTCACAGGGCTGTTTTCCTTTCATCAGCTACAGCCCCCAAGCACTTAAACATAGAGCAAATATTTGGCAGGGCAGGGTGAGGTTCTGGCCCATGGGCTGGGGACCTTGGTGAGCTCTGGAGCACTGAGAAAGGCCAGCAGGATGCTTGCAGGGGGCTGAGCTCTCTCTTGTATTGCTTGGGTTTCTTGGCATCTGTGATCATACCATTTGAGTGATGGAGGATCTGGTGACAGGCACTTTCTCATGGAACAGAGCTCCTGCCATGGCACCAGGCCTCACTTTGCCTGGGAACCCCCCAGCAGAGCCCAGCAAGGAGGGCATTTCAGAGAACCTCAGCTCTACAACTTGCTGTTGCCAAGGTGAGGGAGAGGAGGGAGGACTGGAAGCATAGGAGTGTCGTTACTTTGCATTCACTTTGGCCAAAGGAGCTGCCAAAGGGCAGGTTGACATCGCCAGCAAGGGACAGTCACCTGGGAATGGGAGCTGGTAGCATTGGTAGCACAGGCATCACTGTTTCCCTGCCCTGGGCGGTGCAGCACTGCCCTAATGCCACGAGTTGAGATGTGATAGGAGCGGCCACGTCAGCTGATGGAGACACTGGCTATAAAACACCTGCTGGCCCCATGGTGGAGGCACAAGGGAGCCCACCATGGCCAACGTGGTGCCTGCCTGCCTGCTCCTGGCCCTGATGCTCCTGGCCCCAGCCCTGTCAGCACAGCAGGAACGAGGGCTCATCTTCAACTTGGTAAGAGGAGACTAACCATGATCTTGGCACAGTGGGGGTTGCTCCAGTGCTGCAATGGGGCACACAGTGCATGGAGTGTTGGAGGTGTCTGCGGTGCTTTGGCCTCTGGCAGCAGTTATGTGAGGGACCCCCAGGATGATGGATGCAGACATCAAGAGCAAAACTTATCGTGTCTGGGAAAACTGAGGCAGGTGGGGATGACATGCTGGGTTTTCCAGAGTTGTGAGGGATCTTGGAGCCCGGAAAAGCAGCTGTGTAAAGGAATAGGGAAGTCATAGAGCGGATGAGACTGAAGGTCTCAGCTGCCTGAGCCAGATAGAACCCCCACCCTGGGTGGCTCACAGGGACTGGGGAAGGGAGACGCTTTCCTGTGGTGTCTCAGCCCTGCTCCCATGAGCCCCACAAAAACAGCACTTCAGTGGGTGGCATTTTGGGCCAGACTGAGGAAATGCTGCAGTCTGGGAGACTCAGGCATGCTGGCAGTAGTGCTGAGCCTGAGCTGAAAGGCAGAGCTGGTGTTTGACACCCACCCAAACCCCCTGGGCCCACAGCTAGGGAGGGATCAAAGGGGGGCAGAGAGGGACCTGGTGCTCAAGCCCTGCCTTGTCATGCAGGACATTGGGGAGCTGTGCCTGCAGAGTGTCCAGTGCAAGAGCGGCTGCTGCCACCGGACCAGTGGCCTCAGCCTGGCTCGATGTGCACCGAAGGCAGCTGAGTTCCAGGAATGCACCCCAAGGGTATGTACTTTTCTGCTCCCAGGGGTGGCTGGGGATGGGGGCATGTCCCCACACTGCACTGTGTCTTGGTTCCCTGCAGAACATCTATGAGGTCTATTACAAGTGTCCCTGTGAGAGTGGCTTGACCTGTGATGCTGATAAGACCATCGTGGGCTCCATTACCAACACCAACTTCGGTGTCTGCAAGGACCCCCAGGGCTTCTACAGGTGATGGTGAAGAAAGAGACCCCATGGAGTCCCTGCCTTTCCCCTTCCCAGGGATGCCTGGATCTGGCTGTGGGAGAATCTGAATAAAGAGCAGCTTCTGCTGAGCTACAAGCCAGCGTTTTCACTCGGCGCAGACCCCCTGGCCCGGGATGGGGACAACAGGGTCAGAAGGTCCTGGAAAAAGCCACAGGAACATGATAGCTTTACCTATATGTGTGTGCAATCATATAATAATCTGGTCTAGGTCAGCAGAGAGCCATGGGGTGAGCTCTGCTCAGGGGGAGTGTTAGCAAAGGGGGTGCAGGGGAGGGGAAGATGCAGCAGCCCCAGGATGTGAGGGAGCTACTTTGGTTGTGCTGGACTTGTTTTATTTCCTGCTGTGGCTGCTCTGATTGGAAACATTTCCTAGAAAAGGTTTGTTGCTAGGGAAGAGGAACTTGCAGGGGGTGTTGAAGTGGGTGCTCAGGGTGTTTGGTGGTCATGTCCACCTCCCATGTCATGCCACACTGCGGGCTCTGGATGAACATGCCTGCACCTCCTCCTCAGGGTGAGCAGATGTGGCCAGGAGGTGAGAGGTCAGCCAGGTGGGAGTCCTTCCTGAAAAGAACCTTGTATGGGCAGCTGTTGTAAATGCCATCGGAGACCCTCATCCAGCACCTCCATCAGCATCTTGTAGAGTATCTTCTCTGGCTGAAAGATGTGCAGGGGCTTTGGGAATTCAGGATGGACCTGGGAAGAGATGGTGCTGGGAGCAGCCCTGGCTCGCAATGAGGTGGCAAATCCCCTAAGCCCTGACCCTGGCAGAGCTGTGCCCTGGGCAGGGTAGCCTGCAGGGTGTGATGCCCAGCTTGGAGTCAGCGTTTTGGGCATGGGGAGGGAGCACAGATGTACTACAGCAGGATGAGGAAGAGGAGGCACCCATCTGGTAGAGCTGAGGAGGGAGCAGGAGATGAAGGGGTCATCAGAGAGGGTGTTCTTGGCTTCTGATGCAGATTTCATGCATGTTTTTCCATCCTTGGGGGCACAGCAACAATCAGGCACCCACAGTGCTGCTTCCCACTGCCCCAAGGGGCTCTGCACCAGCTGGGGAGGCCACAAAGCCTGGGGGCCATACCTTGCAGCTGAGAAGGTGCTGCAGGAAACTTTTTTTCAGGAAAAGGGTGACTGGCAGCTTGATGATCTGAACCTGCAGAAGCACCAGGGACACATCTGGGAGGGTGGCACAGCTTGGAGGGTCCCCACTGTGGCAGCGTGGGGACCTTCTGGTCCCTGAAAGTTTGGCTCAGTGGAGCTACAGGAGAAAATTCTGACCTGGATTTTAATTTTAAACTTGTGGTGGGTGGTGAAAGCTTTGAGAGTCTTGTTCTCATCGTAATGGTGGCCCTGGCAAGAGGCCACCAGGTCAATGTCCTCATCAGTGCACCCCTGGGCGTATGTGGGGTGCTGCCAGCCCTGGGGACAGGGGGACCCTACACTAGCGTAGGGGCAACCTAAGTTGGGAAGGGGGATATGAGCAGGGCATCCTTGTGCAGGCAGGTTTTGCTGCAGCAAGGTTCCTTGTGGGGGGACATGTGGGAGATGCAGCCCCCCAACAGGGACCTTACTTCACACTGGGTAATGGAGAGAAACAAGCATTGGGGTACTCCTTTCTCCCTCAATGCATGGGGTTTAACCCTCCTTGGTTAAAAAGCAATGAGGAGTATGAGACTGAAGGGATGTTGGGGTGGAGTGCAGCCCAAGACCCTTCCCAGCCTCACCCCATCATCAGGATTGCACCCCACTGTCAAACCCCATCCCCTCCTGTTCACCCATGGGGTGCCCCGCTTACCAGGGGAGGTGTGTGGAACATTCCACTGGCCTGAGTGTCCCCCCTTCCTGCCTCCCCTGTGCTCCCCCGCCTGCCCTGGCTGTTGTTACTCGAGGGTACAGGATGTTCTCGCTCAGCTGAGCTCCCCTCCCCCCTCTCTCCCCCCTTTCCGCCAGCCCTTGGCCTTCACCTCTTCTGTCTGCACTGCTTTAACTCTGTTTTTTTTCCAAAACATCTTTTCCTCTTCCTCTTCTCCCGCCTCTTCTTCTTCTTCTTCATTTCTTTTTAATTTCTGCACAGATGCACTGATGCTCCTTCTCTGCCCCTCCCAGGGAGTCCCTGCACCGTCAATTCACTGCATCTCCAGTGGTGTGCCCACACAACGCCCAGCTTTGCAGACATCCCCAGCAAAGATACCCTACTCCCAGCCTTGCAAAACACTCCAAGAAAGAAAGTGTGTGTTGAGCTGCCCCTGGCCCCCATAGTGGAGTTCAGACAGGCAGCAGCCCTGTAGCATCCAGCTTGGGCCAGTGATTTTGGGGGGGTAAGACCCCAGGCACAACCTAATTCCATGCCTCCCCCTCCCCCAGTATACCCCAGTTTGCTGCAGACAGGTGTGATGATGGGACTAATGGTGCAGCTGGGCCAGAGGGGCTCCTGGGATTTAGGTTGGAGGGCACTGGGGATGCCTGTGCTTTAGGGGAGACTTGGGCTGCTTGTGCCTGAGAGGTTGCCCAGAAGCATCTGGGAGTGCACAGAGGTGTTTGGGGGTGCACAGAGGTATCTGGGGCTGCCTGCTTGCTCTTGGTTCTGGGTTTTGTTTCCCCCTCTGTATGCCTTTTCCCCCCAGTGTCGGTTGGGGCATGGCAAAGCAGTGACTGGTGCAATCCAGGGGGCCAGTGGCCCCTCTCATGGTATCCCAAGGTGGCTTTTGGCTGGAGGTGGCCACTACGTGCACAAGGCAGGAGCCGTGGGGATGAATCACATCCTTGCAGGGTGTGGGACACCCCAGCCAGCACCAGGGGCTTGGGAAATCCTAAATCCTCAGGGAGATACCCCAGTCTGCCCGCACCACCCTGTGCTGACATGAGACACCTCAACCTGTGCCCGCAGCAGCAAAGTCCCCATGGCAGGTCCAAGTTGTGAGGCACAATGGGGATGGGGGGGCCTAATCCTATGACTCCCACAACTCCCAGTTGGATTTTCCTAAATCTGAGCCAGGTTTTCACTGTCCATCTCTGCCCTCTTTGATCCCCCCCTAGCTGTGGGCCCAGGGGATTTGGGTGGGTGTCGAACACCAGCTCTGCCTTTCAGCTCAGGTGGCCCTGGAGGACATCCAGGCACCCCACACACCTCCATGAGCCCCTCATGATGTTGTCCAGCAGGGCACAAGTGGAAAAATCCTCAGACTGAATAATTTGCCCTGCTGGAAGAATTAATTAGCGCAATACAGGGATGTGGGGAGGGGGGAGGCTGATGGGCTGCCTCAGCCTCGTGAGAGCTCAACAGTAGGTGCTTTGCCACAGCCACTTTGTGGGGGTGGTGTCAAGCTCGGATCCCCCTTGATGAGTATTTTTAGCATTAAATTCCCTGAAATGCTAGTGAGCGGGGCTGGGGTAGCGAGCCAGCCCCATAGGTGGGAGAGAAGATACTGGGGGGATACCTAGTGTGGCATGGCATTGCTGGGGATGCACTCTGGGGGATGCTGAAAGGGGTGTTAGGGGTGATGCTGGGGGTTGATGCCGCGTGCGATGCCAGGGGCATTGCTGGGGGGAACGCTGGGGGAATGCGGGGGTGATGCCGGGGGCCACACCGGTCTTCACCAGCCAGGGGACCCGAGCGGGACCAGCCGCTTGGAGGTCCCGCAGTGGCCCTGCCCGGTCGCCTCCCCCCGTCTCCCCCGCCCCCTCCCGCCGCTGAGTCAGGCTGTTCCCGGAGCTCCCGCGGCCGGTACATCGCGTCCCCACGCCAAGCCCTGGCACCGCGCCCGCCCGCCCGGTGCTGCTCCCGGCAGGGGCAGGGCCCGGCCCGGCCCCGGCGGCTCCTCCGGGCTCCCGGGCTGCGGCTCCCGGGGGTGGTGGGGCTGAGGTCGGGGGCGAAGCCCCGGGAACTGCCGGCGGGACTTGGGGGGACGCAGCCGTAGCACTGGCCCGAGGATTGCTTGTACATGTCCCTGCCGGGTGTGCCGCGAACCCAGGGCTCCCCGGGCACCCAGCAAGCACTAGGGCACCCGGGGGGAATCTCCCCGGAGTGTTTTCGGGCCTCAGATCCCTCTAGCAGGAGCATCTCCACTGCGGGGCACAGCCTGGCTGCTGAGCGTCCTCGAGGGTATTGCACCCTTCGCCACGCCCGCACCCAACCCAGAAGAGAGGTGCCAGCCTGCACCCTCCCACCCGGACACCCCCGTTCGAGTGGGGCAGGCGAGGAGCCCCAGCCACCCCCAGCCATCCGCCCTCCCCGGCGGAGGCTGGTACAGTTCGTTACGTCCAGACCGGAATGTACTTTGTGTTGGAAGTGGCCACCAGCCAGGACGGCAAAGCCGGACTTTATTTATCCTCCCTGCTCTGGCCCCGCTGCATCCTGCCCTTACTTGTGTGGGGCTGGATCTCCAGCAGGGCTGGGGGAGCCCTAGACTCTGTCCACCCCTCATCTGCTCATCGCCAGCTGGGGAGGACAGGAATTTCCCCCCTTTCCTCAGAAGATAAATAATCTGGGAAAATATTTGTGTCCTTTCAGCTTGTAAAAGCTGTCCCTGGTGTCTGGAAGGAAGTGTCATAGGGAAGATAGGGATGCAGGGATGGGTCCAGCCCCAGCAAAGCCTCTGGCTGGAGGTGCCCCTGTCTTCTGGCAAGAGGGTTTTTTGCGACGGGACCAGGATTTGGATCACAATCCGGTAATTTATGGATTGGAAATACATGTAGAAAGAGCCAGCCCTAGCTGTGATGCAGAATGGAGCAGGATCAAGCCTGTGATGGAGCCAGGGCTTCTCTGGCGGTCCCCATGTGTGGGGTATGTCTTGGCCCCTCTGCTGTTAAAAATTCATTGTAGGAGCCATGAGTCCAAGCTAAGAGAGGGACGGTGTTGCAGCCTCAGGATGGACTGGAGGGGTTGCCCCAGGCTGGGTCTGGCCAGTCATTCCATGACTAGACACAGAATCCCTCCTGTGGCCTTTCCGGTAGGAGGATTTGGGGGGGGTATTTAATACAGAAAGCAGCTTTCCAGCTGCTTTGCACCCCCCCGGGTCAAGTATCCTCATACCAAACGAGTGGTCTTGCACTACTG